AGCCGCCTCCCCTCCCTCGGGGAGGCAGCGGAGCGCGGCAAGTGTCCCCGTGAAGCGTTGCTGGCTGGACAGCGTGATCCCCGCCTGGCACGAACTGACCCTTCCTCTCCTCCGCTTACGGACTGGATGAGTTGTAACGAGCCAGGCCGATGTGCGCTGCTGCCAGGCTGAATCTCTTCAGTCTGGCAACCCTAGGACGTGACCTTTGCAGAACCAGGGGAAGTCAATATACTCTAGCAGCATTACCAACATTCCCACTGCTTCCTGGGCTCTTACCCTAACGCCTGGCACGAACTGACCCTTCCTCTCCTCCGCTTACGGACTGGATGAGTTGTAACGAGCCAGGCCGATGTGCGCTGCTGCCAGGCTGAATCTCTTCAGTCTGGCAACCCTAGGACGTGACCTTTGCAGAACCAGGGGAAGTCAATATACTCTAGCAGCATTACCAACATTCCCACTGCTTCCTGGGCTCTTACCCTAATTTAGGGTAAATTAGGGCTCAATTACAGCACACAACACTGAGAGCCAGGACTGGTGTCTATCAGCTAACTTTATGGGATTGCAAGAAAGTTGCCTACCCACATAAGCGGACATATGACTACCTAAAATCATGCCAGACCACGGATGTTGCCAAACTAGAAAGTGCAGGACTTGAGAGGTTCAAGCTAAGGATGTTAACTAGCAATTAATTTACTAGTTGAGTAGTGGATGGAATTTCCACCCACTAGTTGATATGCACTTCTGTCTTGTTCCTTTGAAATGTACAAGAGATCCGGTGGGGGTTCTTGTGCATTTCAAAGTTGGAATGCAGCGTGGAGCCCAGGGCCAGGGTAAGTCCTGCTGACTCTGGGCTCCATGTGGGTGCTTCTGCTTTGAAATGCAGAAGAGTCCCAGCGGGGGGCTCTGTGCATTTCAAAGCGGAAGTGCCCACATGGAGCCTGGGGTTAGCAAGGGACTCAGAGTCCTGGGCTGGCCCCAGGTTCCATGCTGTGCTTCCTCTTGGAAATGCACAAGAGTCCCCATTTTAAAGTGGCAGCACTGCTTGGAGCCCAGGATCAGCAGGGGGAGTGACTAGGTGACTAGTTAACTAGTCCTTTACATCCCTAGTTCAAGCTGTAGTAAGTAGTTCCTCAATACCTTTGGGCCCAGGATCAGCTGGAGGGAGTGACTAGGTGACTAGTTAACTAGTCCTTTACATCCCTAGTTCAAGCTGTAGTAAGTAGTTCCTCAATACCTTTGGGCTACGTCTAGACTGGCATGATTTTCCGCAAATGCTTTTAATGAAAAGTTTTCCGTTAAAAGCATTTGCGGAAAAGAGCGTCTAGATTGGCACGGTGCCAATCTAGATGCGCTTTTGCGCAAAAAAGCCCCAATCGCCATTTTCGCAATTGGGGCTTTTTTGTGCAAAACAAATCTGAGCTGTCTACACTGGCCCTTTTGCGCAAAAGGACTTTTGCCCGAACGGGAGCAGCATAGTATTTCCGCAAGCAGCACTGATTTCTTACATAGAATTATAGGACTGGAAGGGACCTCAAGAGGTCATCGAGTCCAGCCCCCCCGCCCTCAAGGCAGGACCAAACTCCGTCTACACCATCCCTGACAGATGTCTGTTTAACCTGTTCTTAAATATCTCCAGAGAGATCGTCAGTGTTCGTGCGGTAATTCAAGCGGCCAGTGTAGACAGCTGGCAAGTTTGAAAAACTTGCCAGTCTAGACACAGCCTTGGTCTTTAGTACTTTTGCCACAGAGATGGGAGGTTTTTATAAGCATCAGGTCAAGTGTGAAGGCACCAAATAGAATGAAGTATTGCATTTTACCTTGTAGGCTTATTTATGGTATGTAAACTTGACTGGAACTTATTTTGCAAATAAATGTGAATTATTACAGAGTTTGTTCAGCTATTGCTTTAATCTCTACATATTTGATGTCTTGCCTACTTTGCTTTATCTAGAGAAACTCACAAAAGAAGCAGAGAGCCTGGCAGAATACCAAAAACTAATGAAAAAGCACAATATAACTTTGGCCCAGTTAAACAAGAGTTTTGATGAGGTAGGATAAGCTGTTATCTTAAACTACCTTGATATATGAAGTGTAGATACAGAATGAATTTTTAGCCTTTTAATTATTTAGCTTTATACAGACAATGAACACTGTTCTTTAGGGGAGGAACTGTTGCTGTATTGTATGTATAGGGTCTTACAAAATGGCCTTTAATACTTAGTTGAAGCATTGAGACACTACTGCAGTACCAAGTACTAGTAATCAGCACTGTACAGAGTAACAGAGAGTCTAATTTGTCAAACTGATCAGGACTGAAGAGCTGAAAACAGCTAACATTAACAGCCACTGGTCAATCTGATATGTATTGAGTGGTGGAGTTTTTTTACTGGATTTTAATGTGGCTTTGGACCACACAGGTATTTTTGCATTGGCTCTTGGTTCCCTTTTCCATGTGGCTGTGGGCACTATTCCCTCTCAGGCTGTACAACAGAGGTCTGACTGAGAAGCAGAAAGACACTCCCAACATTCCCCTTACACACTAGAGCCTAGGGTATGGGTGGGCAATAATTTTTTCTGGGGGCCACTTTAGAAATGTTTGAAGTGGTCCTGGGCTGCACCAGAGGGGGCGGGGCCTCAAGCAGAAGGGGTGGGGCCAGGATACTTTCCTGCTTCCCCACCCACAGACCATGACTGGTCTGGGGGAGTGTTTCCTTTCCCCCTCCCACCAGGTGCCCATGCCCCGGTGGTAGGAGGAGACTTTGCACACTTCCCCTTCTGCCTCCAGGCCAATCAGGGCTTGGGGGAGGGGCATACACCTCTTGCCCTGCCAGGAGTGCAAGGTGCTTCTAAGTGCTGCATGCTCCTGGCAGGGTGGGGGCAGGGCAGAGGAAACTTTGCATGCTCCCCCTGCCCCCAGGCCCTCATTGGCCTGGAGGCAGGGAAGCTGCAGAGCCTCCACAGGTCAGATCAATCCTCTTAGTGGGCCAGATCCAGTCCACAGAGGCCCTTTTGCCCACTCCTGGCCTGGGGGGGTCCCAGGCTAGTACATTTTGTGTGCTCCAGCCCCATAGGTGGGATGGCAGGGAAGGGAGGGCTGGATCACCACTGTGGGCTCCCCAATGCTGGGGAGGAGAGTCCTGTGCATCAGGGGCTGCATCAAACCCCCAGCTTCCCCACCCCTGCTATAATGTGTGATGGTAAAGATTCTGCTCCTAAAAAGAACACAATCTAAAAAAGTGACAAAAGTAAAAGCAGTAAAGTTTTCAATTCATACAAACTTGTTCTAATTCACTATTAGCTTGGGACTTGGAGTTGAAAGTCAGTTAACTTGATGAAAACATCTGGGCAGGAGGTAATTTTGACAGTGTAAGTTATATAATTGATGCTGTTATTCTCATCAGTGAATCTAAAGTGCAAATGAAATGCAGCACAGTCTAAAATCCTCAATTGTGTATGGTAACTATTAAAAAATAGTTGTTCCTGTCATCTTGCATTGAGCATTCATTGTACACCAGATTGTTAAATGGAAGAACAGACAAAAATCAGTAATTTTAATTTTGTAAGTGACTCAGACCTAACATTCACTGTCAGATTCACTATCGCAGGAACCATAAATATATCAGTAGTCTAAAAGGAAGAGGCAGATTCACAACAGCTAATGTAAGAAATATGGCAATGTAACTATATAAGTCCCATTGCTAGTTCAGTAGTTCTAATATTTTAAAGGGACTCTATAATCTAACATACTTGGCACCCTGACAAAATCAGGGCTATGAAAAATGGGTCATAGATGGAAATCTGATA